TAAGACATTGTTATTAAAGAAATTTTGTGGTTTTAGGTGTTGATATCGAAAAAAATCCAGTTAACCCAGACTACAGAACCTGGCATAATGCTAAAAGATAATTTTTTAAGTAATATGCTATTTTACTAGTTATTAGAGCAATTGCCTTTATTTGAATTGACACTCGTGTATCTCAGTGTTAGAAACAAAATTTCATTGGGTATTATACTTCATTTCCAATACAAACAGGTGTCATTAGTCTTAAAAACGGATGGAGCAAGTTCACTTTCCATAGGAGCGGTGTGCAAGAGAATGAATTGGAATTGTTGAACTTATCCAAATGAAATGATTTGACTGTTAGGCGATCCAGTTCGCTCACATGCCAGTCATGGGGGTTGTCGCCCTTAAATAGGTTTTAGTTAATTAAGCTAACTTTGTTCGCTTATTAGTGTTACAGAGCACATGTTATTATTTAGTTAGTCTTATGGACAGTGATGCAATATGTCCAACTGTAAAATGTTTTATGAATTCGAATGAATGTTAAAACATAACTATGCTTGTGTCATTGGCTAAACATGCGCTCCTAGTTCAGTGTTAGAAATGTATATTGAATGGGTACAACGCTGTCGTCTATGTAAAGTTGCAATTTGCTTCTTTAGTTTTCATGTTATGTTTTCAAATGATCTGCAATTTCTGCATATAAAATTTGATAGTTTTAAACATTTTGACTATACAAGTTCTGAAAGTACAACCATTGTCTTACCCGCATATGTTTAGCTTCCTACTGGTGCTTTTTGAAAATCATTGAATTAAACAAATGGGTGACGTTGACCCAAAATTGATAAAAAAGACACAGGAGACTCTAGGAAAAATAATTAAAAAACCTCCATTAACAGACAAACTACTTTCCCGGCCACCATTTCGATTTCTTCACGACATATGCTTGTCGGTAGGTTCGCAGTTAAAATCAGACGTTTTTAGATCATTCGTTCGACGGGTCTCATGAAGGGACTCTTTACCGCTGAGGAGTTGAATGCTGATAACGCAAAAGATAAGGCTGCAAAAACCGCATTCCTAAATAAGGTCGTCGACTTTGTTGCTGCTGCCCACAACCGCAGTCCAAATGTCAAGGTTTCTAGCATCATTTCAGGAAAAGATGCTGATCGAACGAATGTCCTCCTTCAGTTGCTCGCAGATGCTGTCAATAAGGGTGTACGGTCTGCTTTTTTATAACCTTCGCATGTAGGTTGACAATGCGGCATGTGTGTCAAAGGCTTTGGGATTGAAACAAATCGTCGACGAAAATCCACCAAAAGCCGAAAAAAGAGAAAAGAAGAAAGAGCCGGGTAAGTTGCATGGGTTTCAGTTTCTTTATATGACTCTAAAGCTACTTCAAGGCTTGACACATCCCAAGATCTAAGCAAGCGCGTCGCTGGTTATTCGCGAAAACGAATGCCCACTAGCACTCGCTCCAGAGAAAGGCTAGGGCGAAGTCGGGAAGTACTAAAAGTAAAAGTATGAGAATCATGTTTAAGCATTCTAGCGCGTAATATAGAATGACGATAGTCCCAAGAACAATTTACATGAATCACAAGTTCCAAAGGTTGGTTTGACATAAATTTAAAACAATAGGTGTTCGTTGAAATCAATTACGTTGATCATTAATAATTTCAGGGAAAAGAGGAGTCGTTAGTAGAATCAAAGCACGCCGCAGAAATTTCTTCGAATATTCTTGAAAGCAAGCAACCCCCCACCCCATCTTCCCCACACCCTGAAATCGTGGCAGATGCAAAAGTTCCACTGCCCACCGCGACACCAATTGAAGGCACTCTGTCGCCTCCCCTTCTATCTCGACCCAGCAGGCCTCCATCTCCCAAGGATACCATTAAACCGGCTGAAGGCAAGTTGCTGCTCATTCGGTCTTTTGTGGCTGTATTCTCTTCCTTGAAGAAGACAGCTTCGCAATTTTTATCTGTATTATAAAAGCACTAACTCTCACATGACTAGCTTACGGCAACTTAAGTTCTTTTTCAAGACATTCAAAGAAAGCATCATAGATATTTAATTTTCGAATTTAGAGCTACTCCAAACGGAAATACCCACAATCGTTGAGCATCCCACGAAGTACGTTTGCACTGATCCCTGTTGTTCTGCATGCTGTTCTAATTAGAAAGAAAGTAATTCCCTTTTTTAAGGCAAACTCCAGGACGAATCCCAATGACAACCAACCCTTCTGATTCGTCAACGAATTTGGGGTAGGCAATTTAGTGGTTTTCACCCTATTTTTAGAAAAAAAAATATTTTCTTTTAAAAATTGGTTGACATAAATGTGGGCAAGGTAATATGACTGCGGACACTTTACGCTGTTTATCCGACAGTTGGTCAGGGGTTATAACTTCATGTCCTCCGTCATCGACACTTTTGGCACTTAGGACTGGGCCAATTCGCCAGTAAAATATCGTCTATTTGTAGTTTTGAAATGAAAAATCCAGAAAAGTATTTGATAAGTACTTGAACCGTTTGTAATGTGCCAGTACACAATTAACTCGAGCAAAGCAACCAAAACAAAATTGATTTTATCTATCTTATTTCCTAACGATTTATGTAAACAATGATAAACTTATAGATTCGGGCACCAAAAGATTACAGATATATGTCAAAAAGGTTGTTAACTTGTAGGATGGCCGCCAGTCAGTAACATAATTGTGGTGCCCCTTCAAGTCACACAGCGGCACCACAGGTTTAGGTTGGTACATGGATGGCTTAATGCGACGGATACGCAAACACATTTAAAAAACCTCGGCGTCGGCAAATACTAAATTAATTTCGTGTGGTTTTGTACAAGTGGCGATCCTAATAGCGGCCACCTGCTCCCCAATTTCAGACAATCGGCATTTAAAACTGCTGCTGCATATACAGGCTTCATGTAAAACCCATTCTTTGTTGTCAAGAGTTTCAAACGGGCAAGTGCGCAACCAAATGTACTCCGGACCAGTAATTTCCTCTGTTGCTGGAATAATGATGGAAAATGAGGCCCTTTCGGATGACGACGATGCTTTCATTGAAGAGGAAACAGTTACCGGGGTTCAACTGTTGCGCGCCGGTGGTGAGAACAATCTTATCGATGATGGTGAGAGCAAAGAAAACCATGGTGAGTGCTGGTATGCTAAGTAAAAAATCTTTTTTGAGTAGCAGGCAGTTTCTTCATAATTTTCATATCCCTTTGAAGCAATTGCTTTTGTCATCATTCACGGACCAGTTCAAATGTCGCCAATACATGACTCAGAACTTAAGTTTTGGTGCATTTAATTACCACAAAATTGATGTTTTAGAAGCTAAATGTACTGACTAGCGGTTGCTTTGTTAGCATTTATTACATGAACTCTTTATAACACATATATTACAGGTGGGCATCCAGAGTCAAAGTACACCAGTGACCTCAAAAATATTCTATTTTTTGTCTTTATTTGATTGGTTGCACTTCTCAATTATTATTATTGGATGTGTTTTTCAAAATATTTATGGACAAGTAGAAAAAGGCACGTTTTGTTTACGTTTGTGACGCTGACTCAAATTGTGCTCTTTTACAGGCGGACTGGTGACGAAACTTTTGCAATCAAAGAAGGAGCTAAGTGTTGGGGACACCACTGCACCTGCAGGTGCCAAGCTGTCAGTAAGGACTTATGCAATGTAATTGTCTAGTGTGGACTTTTAGAGGGTAGAGCAGATATCTGAGCCAGAAAAGCCTCCACGGAAAATGCACCAATATTAATATTATAATAATAAGACATATATCAGGAATTACATGTAAAAGTTCGACTTACTGTAAAAAATCGTAATTCTTTAAGCGACCACACGCAATAAGATTCTCGGGAAATTCTTTTTGGCACCCAAGTATCTGACTTGATAGAATTTGTTTCCAGGGCACATTATAATTCAGCTTTCCTTAATGTCGACGAGCTGTCCTCTGCTATTCTGAAAGCTTTTTCAACACATACTACTCATTCGATGTTTATGTAGCCCACCGAATATCAGGAACAAGAGATAAGGAAATAACCTTTACGAAATTGTGCTTCGACCATTGCGGAAGAGTTCCACTTAATAAGATGATGATTCCAGGCTAAGTGCATTATTTAGTCCTCTATGCCTCTATTTATGGTGCACATTAGCGTTATCTTGTCCTTAAATATATTTTTGCTGTCCATAAAGTGGTAGTGTGATGCGAAATTTTAGTTGCATGACTTTGGAATTTTTTGAGCAGTTAGTGAAAATGCAAGGCTGATTTCCTTAGACTGATCAGGAAAATACTAAAACTGGTTTAACTGTATATGTCCATGGCCAGGTTTTTGTTTTTTTGCAGAGTATGGTTGTATTTAATGAAGCAGCGAAAAAACGGGAACGAGAGTCCATCGAATGCGAAATGGAAAGGCTTTGTCAGGATTTACAAGACCTCACTAGGTCGGCACTTCCTTTGGGCAAGTTAATGGATTTTATGCAAGAGGACTTTGAAAGCATGCAAATGGAATACAAGGAATGGAAAAGTGAAAATGAAAGACTTCAACAGCAGCTGAAGAAGACTGATAGGTTTGCACTTTTTGGTTTCACAGTTAAAATCAATTTCAAAGTGGGCTATTCAGTCGAATAGTCAATGACAATTATACTGTGCACTGGCACGTGCACTGTACGACACTTCAAGGTAATAGACTAATACAACGTTGCAAGATTTGCAAATAACACCAAGGTCCTTACGCACGTAAACTTAGCAAGTCGACCATTATCAAGCCACTAGGCATTTAATCTATAAAAGCCTAATATTCGCAACATTTACATATATTTATATCTCAATTCCTTGACTACTACAAATAAACTACTTATATGAATGGGTTCAATAAAACTGAAGTTAAGCATTAGCTCACTCATAAAAGATTGGTAGAAATCGTTTGAAAACCCGAGACTCTGTGTTTTATGTTTCTAAAAAGTTTATACCATTTGGCTAACAAGTAGCAGAAACTATATGCAGCAGCCTTTTGTTACGATTTATCATAAATTATCCGAATTTTTCAATTTTAAATGAAAAACATGACAAATTATGTGTTCAGAAAGTTCACCGATTGTTGTCTCCTAAAGTGAAAAACATTTAGGCTATAGTTTTTAGAGATAAAAGAAATCTTTTCTTGTAGAATGCATCATTGTTGGGTACATATTATTTTTTAGTCAAACCGATCCTGACCTCGATCGCCTGCGCGAAGAACTAAGGCAGCTGCTACAAAAACATATAGAATATCGCCAAGCAATTGTAGTAGCAAAAGCAAACGTCATACAAAACGATGCTGAAATTCAAAGGATTCTAATTCAAGCAGCTGAAATATCATAAGCATCATAATTCTTCTCCAGCAAATGTCATTCTTCCTTTGTTGATGATTCCACAGTTTGCTTATTGGTTTGTTAAAAAGTTATGTCAGAGAAATGTGGCACTAATTGGAGCTAATATTTCATTGAGTGCATGTAACGAATAAAAAACACAACAAGGTGCAAATTATCGTAATTTCTGCCTTAAAGACAGGCATTAACAAAAAATATTTAATTCTAACATGGAATAATGCTAAAATACCGATACTTATAACAAAACCAAAATTGAGCTGTGATAAAACCTCAACATTAAGGCGAATTTCATTATTAGAAATCGTGCAAGTAAATTTCAACTGACGACCAAGATCGTGTAAAGTGTAATTGTGGCTTTTCTCATCCTCTGCATTTCGAAATTGCGTGCCAGCCAAAAACAAAAGGCTTCAATTAGTGATTAAACACAGCCTTTTTCCTAAAATGCATACCGCAGTTTTATTGAAATCCTGGATTTAATCCTGCCAGCGCCACCACTTTATGTACAAGCCCTATCATATTAACTACATGAAGGTTTATAAAATATTAGAATCACACAAGAGCATTATTCCAAACATCGACTGACGGAAAAAGGAAGAGGTGAGGCTGCCACTAATAATTGGAGGTCTGTTAGATGAAATACCATGCTGGCACATCAAAGAAGACGCATGTTCACACTCAAGTTCTAAGATGCAAGTATTCATTTGTCATTATTAATGCAGGACATACTTTGATTGAAATTATACGAAGGTATCATTGCGAAGTAACTTTAAGGCATGGTATAACCAAGAATATAGAACTCAAAATAGAAATAAGAAACACTGCAGCAATTGACTGCCACACAACTATAGAACCAACTGCTCAAACTTGCAGTCAGTCAAGCAACAAGAAACAGGAACTTCAGGTGATCGCAAATTTTCGAATGACCGGGGCTTTGTGCTCATAGTTATTGCGTTGTGTTGGTGCGATAAAACAAAGTCGTTTAGTGGTTGATTTGACATCGTCGAAGATTTGTGCAGGTAACTTATATCACAGTTGCGCTGTTAGATGTCGGTGGGCATAAGTAGATTTAGGCAAACATTCTTAATGCATGGTTGTCAGCTTAAGGAAATCGGCAAATTGTGCGAATTAAAAGTAACGCTAAATACCACTCATACTCTTTCGTGAGCAATTAACTTGTGCATTAACCTGAAACAATCAAGAGGTGGTAAATTTTTACATTGACGCAAATATGGACCGAAAACTGATACATTCATTTCTGCAATCATGTTAGGGCTCTGAAGCGCAATGGAGGAACAAATGTGGCGTGCGATGGTGAGTTGGATTCTACCATTCGCGGCTGATATGGTTGACGATGACAATTTAGCGCGACAGCCAAGTAATTTGGCAAGCTTTCACACCTCATTAAGGTCGTGAATTGATACATTAATTAAGGGCGAAATAATTGTGCAATATTATTTATATGGAAAAATCCCGTGTTCACCAAGCGATTTTGACAGGAACATATGAAAGTTTTTTTGTTTTGCAAGTATTGTCTCCGAATTACTTAAATGTCTTGCGTTTCTTTGGAATTTAATCATATATCGTCCATTTTTACACCTCGTCGCCGCTTTAAACTGGACGGTTTGGTGATTAGGTTCCTGTTTTTCTGCACATGTTTGTAATAGCAATGACGTCAGTTTTCCTTGACGAGATCGCTTGTCATGGGATAAGTGATTTGAAATGTTCTTCATTCGCATAGTTAAGCATGCAGTTGAAAAAGATGGTCACACGTTGAACCGAACGCTTAGAAAATGCAGTCCAAATATCCCTAGATCACTCTGCAGCTGATGAACTTGAATTTGCTGGGTCATGTAACCTTAGTAACTGGCAGTGTAGGTAATTTCCACAATACTTCTCTGCTTGACCTAAATTGCTTTCGCAAAAGGTAGAAAATATGGCGGATGTTCTTTAGTTAGGATAA